TGTAAGGGGCTGTTCATAAACTACGTTGACAGTTTAAGGGGGTTGGTAATTATCCACGGCCCAAACAAATTTAAAAAAAATGTATAGACAATTGTCGACGCAGGGGGGGGGGGGTGGATGGTGTCAAGAATAAAAAAAAAACAGTCTACATAATTAATGAAGAGTCCCTAAAGAGTTTGGAACTTTTTGTTTACGCCGATAGGCGGTTCTTATTATGATAAGAAACTTTGCCGAAGACATTAAGTCACGCAAATGCTTTGTTTCGAAGTTATTAATTTTATCCTGATAGATTGCATCCCATGGGCCTTCTTTCAGAAGCATCTCTTACAAGTTTCTAAGGAGCTGTGCATATACCACGTAGACAACATAGAGGGAGGGGGAGCATGACGAATGTCCACGGTCCATACATATTTTTAGAAATTTATATGAGGGCTTGTCTACGGAGGGGATGGAGAGTCTAAAACCCCCAAAAAGCTGTCCACGTAGTATATGGCATCCCCTTACTCAAATATGATTGTACCCTACTTTCTTCATCAAGTAGTTTTCTAGCTTTTTCACACTTACCTCCACAATCGCTAACGACTGCATGGACACGTAGGCCGATTCCCTCTGCCCGTTCAATCAAATTAAAAATGATGCCATGGTTGATCGAATCACCAGAAAAAATGATACGCTACGACTTGCTTCCAACGGGAATGTACACCAACAATCATGAACACCATAACATGGTTAGCAATGCCTGTGTGATGTGGAAGAGTAACTGGTCCAATGAACTTTTTCAAGTTAGAACAGTAATTACTTCCTTGTTGTATTGACATTTCATCGAAAATTATTGCACAATCCAGATCGTTATAGTGCATTCCTGTTATTTTGTGTCGCAGCAGATCAAAAACTTTGGTAAGGACTTCAGCATCAAACCGAATCCCTTGCAGTTTTTCCCTTAGAGTTCTGCCACTAGGCAACTGACGCTTCAACCGTTCCGTTTCATATGCCGTTGATTCACACAAAAATTTTGTTTTTAAGCCTTCTATGATGCTTTCGTTGGACCATTTTTTAATTTTCTTTACTCCAGTCGTAAGAAGCTGTAGCTGATCTTTGCCAAAATTTTCCTGCAAGGTCGTGTTGATGTTATTTGCTTCCAAGTGCGAGATTTTTCTTTTTAACGTCGCATTCTCATTTTTGTACGACATAAGTCTCCTGCAAATGCATAAAAAAGAAAAAAAAACATCGTTTTAAAATACGCTTAAAAGTTTGGTTATGAGTTTCCGCAAAAATCCTGTTAATTACTTATTGCAGATTGCAACTGAAACTGAGCTATTTAAAAAATGCAAAAAATGTGATAAAAGTGTACGTTTACGTTTAATCTTCTTGGTGCCTTGGGTGCACTTATTCTTTATAATGCAAGAAATAAGCGCACCGAAGACACCAAGAAGATGAGACCTAAACGAGCACTTTTATCACACTTTTTAATAAGTTAAAATGCGCTCATTTGTCCAGTTAGGCCTGAAGTACGCAATAGTTTCACATTGATCTAACACACAAAATAATCGCTATTTGATCTCACAGAACTTTACCTTTGGCACTGTTGACTCTGGATTTTGTTCCAGACGCATTGGTTACATTCAAGATTCTCCGGAAGATTTGATTGTATACTTCTATCATTAACGGATTGAGAACAATATACGGAATCGGCACTATTTTCACCATCATGTTCATCTGGGTGTAAAACTTCGTCAAGATATTCAATGTCTTGATACTGCACCGGCTTCGTCGAAGTTTGTGTGCTTGGATTTATGCTCGGATTTATGTTCTCAATATCATCAACGTCATCCTCCATACCACGATCAGTGCGTTTTGGATGAGAAATTTGCGGGACATCTGAGTAGCAGGGAATCGCCCCGGAAACTTTTCTAATTTTTCCTCCACTGTCCAAATACACATGCTCCTCGCCAAAGTGCAACATCTTCACTTGTGCAAAAAATTTTACTTACGCTACACAGTCGGTGACTTCCAACTATTTGAAAATCTTCCGGCAGTCCGCAAAACAGTTTCCATTGTTTCAAACAGGGTGCCTTCCATTCATTTTGACTAAAAAAATGTTTTAGGAAATTATGGAATAATACGATATTATGATGGTATTTTGTATGTGTAAGGAACAAGACAAATTTTTAAAGTTTGTGTTTGACACATAAAACCTGCAAATTTAGCTTTGACAGAGCCACAATGAGCGATTTTCCGATCGCCTCTTCGCGAAGAGTGAAGAGTGAAGAGTGGGTGAGATAAATGACAAAATCGCTTATTGCGACTCTCATGCAGCAACATTGGCTGGTATTATGTGTCAAACACAAACTCCACAACCTTTTCTTGTTGCTTACACAAACAAAATATTATTATAATATCTTATTGTTCCATAATTTTATAAAACATTTTTTTAGCCAAAATGAATGGAAGGAACCCTGGTTTCAAAATGGCATACTTCGCGGGGAATCGGAAAAACCCAACATTTTTTATGCCATTGTGGGAATTATTCCTGCAACTTTTAAATAAACACTTCATTTTCAAACCAAAACTAAAGTTTGTTTACATAACAACTTGCTGCACTGAATGCGAGTCATTCTATGTGTAAGCATTTGCAAGTGTTGCTAGACAATATGAAAAATAATCGTGCTGCCATTTTTACGGCATTTCTACATAGAGGTAACTCTAAGACCACTGGGTCCCGAAGAAAATCATTATTATTTTTGGCTCACTCAGTACCAGAACAACGGTCCCAAGCAGTCCCAAGCTATTTCACTCACCCCTGCATGTTCTGCATGAATCCACACACCCCTGATGTTATCTGTCAAACTTTCATAGCGAATCAAAACAAACATAGTGTAGTAATAGAATTTCAACTTGAATAGGGTACGTTAATCGTTTGCTTGGGACCAATAGGCTACTAAAGTGGTGAGCCAATTTAAAATCGTTAGTTTCGTATTGATTGTTGATTTCTATCCGCCGGTCTGTGTTTACTACACCGTCTGTAAGGCCGACGTCCCGCGAGAGAAAAAACAAAACACATTCGACTTACTAACATAGCAGAAAAATAATATACCCATACACAGCAAAAAAAATGTAATATCGATCAACGTAATTCAAGCTGATGTATGAAATAATGATGTAATAGCAAAACGCAGATACAATATTACATCAATGGATGTAATTTTGTTCGCAAAATCGATGTACATCGTACAATGTGATATTACACAACCGATGGATTGACCTGGTTGCAGCAGTTTCGATGTAATATTCAACAAATTTTTTGCTGTGTATACGGCAGTGATATGGGCCGATAATATGTATGCGACGCGCGCAGCTAGGGAGTGAAGAGAATAAGAGTAGAGAGGGTGAGCATGCCCAAAGAATTGTGTACGTAGTAAACAGGTTTAGGATAGTATAAAATAAATTGATTTATTAGAGACAAGTTGACATCAACATGAATCCGTTCGACTTTGTACATTTGTCAACTTGACACTCCGAACATAGTTTACCCATTTTTGGGTAGGTTCTGCTTTGGCCGATCTAGGTGGATTCTACCCAAATTTGGGTAGTTTTGAAATAGCATGTACAGAATCCAACTCTGGTGCCGCTGTCAAATAATAAAATATCATGTGCCCTATCAAAAAGTTCGGGTTTAGTTGCTCGCGCAGGTCTAGGCGCTTAATACAAAGGTGACACACGAGGAAGAAGTGTTAGTTTGTTTACCAAAATGAACTATGCCCATTTTGTTATGGCAAGTTTTGCTATAAGAGATGCTACTCGTGTTTATCAGTGAAATTCACATCAAAGATTGATTAATTGCGAAGGAAATCAATTTGGCACGGCATTTGTGACCAGAATACACGTTCCGGTCGTATGAAAGAGGTAAAACACTGTCCAAATCCACCCATATTTTTTTTTTGTTTTGAAATTCTGTATGGCAAAATAGTGAACTTTTCGTGAAAATTAACGGCAAAGAACTCACCAACACTGGGAGACCGTGAGCTCCTGCCCATTTGTCATAAAACCATCTTGCGCGCAGGTAGCGTGTAAATTAATGTTGACGTCCCTGACCGTGTCGTTCAGAATTCATCCGTTAATAAACAAACCAGTGCCAAATGGATGATTATTCCTAAATTACAGCAGTGTTAGTGGTTTGTTTTCATCGGGAAATATATTCCCAATGAAAACATTGGTGCACGTATACGCGTACGCACACTAGTGCATTAAACTCCAGCAATCTCAAACGAGAAAGAGTTTGCACTTTGGCTGAAAAAATGATAGGCGATCGTTGCCACCCGTTGTTGTTTTGTCATAGAATGTGCCCTATCAGCATTTCGGTTTGCTTGCGCTGAAACTGGTCGCGCATTTAATCGCAGTTCCGTCAAACCCCTCCTCGAAGTCATAAGCTGATTAATTTCAAAGTGAAACACAGACTACGCAGTAACCTTTACGTATATCCTAAAAGGTTAGTACTTAAGTGAACAGAAAACAGTTAACTAGTGCGTATAGATTAGATTAAATACTCTGTAATCAAAAATTCGATTACAATTCCAAATTCAGTCATCATCAATGTGTTTCCAGAAATGAATGACGGCAATCGAATGTGCAGGTAGGCAGCTTCCACACCTGCGTAGGATATCGCACCCATTCAATACACATGGGCCGGGACCAACGTCTTTACTTCCCTTCCGAAGGAAGACGTGACCAGAGATTTTTATGCCTCAGGAAAATCCCACCGACCTCGGCTGGGATTGAACCCAGACCCATCGGGGTGTTAGAAAGCAGTCACGCTTACCACTACACCACCGGCGCCGGCAATTCCACTGTCAACAATTTATGGCGTTTAAGCTGCTGTTCTTTATTTTTTTGTCGCGCGTTGCAGCGGTACGTAATGAATATGTGTCATAGAATGTGTCCTATTAGCATTTCGGTTTGCTTGCGCTGAAACTGGTCGCGCATTTAATCGCAGTTCCGTCAAACCCCTCCTCGAAGTCATACGCTGATTAATTTCGAAGTGAAACACAGACTACGCAGTAACCTTTACGTATATCCTAAAAGGTTAGTACTTAAGTGAACAGAAAACAGTTAACTAGTGCGTATAGATTAGATTAAATACTCTGTAATCAAAAATTCGATTACAATTCCAAATTCAGTCATCATCGCTGCTTTCGAGGTGCATGAGAGTCAGTTTTGGTGGACAAAAGAAACCGATTGAACAAGTGCCGTTTTAATGGTGGGCTGAAACCATATTATCTCAATAATGTGTTTCAAGAAATGAATCGTTGATAAGTTTTAGTTTTGGTTTCTGTTTAATTCTGGTTCCAACCATCTAGAATGTACTTCAATTTGGCTTCTTTGGTAAAGATGTGCATTTCATAATGTTGAGAAATGCTGTCCAAGACCAATGATTTACAAAAAGAAGGTCCACATAAAATAATATACCGCATTAAAGACATCTTCAGTCTAGGATTGCGATACTTTGGGGATGAGATAAGATGGAGCACCAGGTGGAACTAAACCTGAGGAGCATTTCGCAATAATATGTAAAGTGAACTTCCCTATTGGAATTTTGAAGTTGGAAATAATTCACGTCCAATTCACACTCATTCAACCACCGCAACCATTTTCGAGTTGGAAAATACTTCCCCGTTTATTAATAGGTATATCAATTTATTTTATACTATCCTAAACCTGTTTATCACGTCCACAATTCTTTGGATATTCTTACCTTCTGTTCTTATTCTCTTCGCTGCCAAGCTGCGCGCGTCGCATACATATTATCGCATATTTCTGCTATGTTACTAAGTCGAATGTGTTTTTTTTTTCTTTCGCGGGACGTCGGCCCTCGTGGCTCTGCAATAGGCAAATCAAAGCCGGCACTCGTGGAGAATAGAATAACTATGAAAGTGATGATGGTTTCCATGGGGAGGTATACGAGTGCAATCTTCAATTGCTTTTATTTTGAAAATGGAGCATTTTATTTAAATCCGATTACTGCTACAGTGGTAGAAAAGCTGAAATCTATGTATACACCTAAAAATCTGAAAAGAATTATTTTTTTTCTATTTTATATGCCTATTTAGTATTCCTTGAGTTTTCTACTAACGTAGCATTAACCTGATTTATATAAAATGCTCTATTTGCAAAATAAAAGCATTTTAAGATTACACTCGTATACCTCACCGTGTAAAATTTTGAAACCATCATCACTCTCGTAGTTCTTCTATTCTCCACGAGTGCCAACTTTGATTTGCCAATTATCTTCTTCCTTTTTCTTCATGACGAACAATTGGCAAATCAAAGTTGCTTTGCTTTTATTTAGCAAATGGAGCATTGTATTTAAATCTGGTTGTTGCTACAGTTGTAGAAAAGCTGAAATCTATGCATACACCTTAAAATCTGAAAAGAAATTATTTTTTCTATATTATATATCTATTGAGTAGTCCTTAAGTTTTCTACTAACGTAGCATTAACCAGATTTAAATAAAATGCTCCATTTGCTAAATAAAAGCATTTTAAGATTGCACTCGTATACCTCACCGTGTAAAATTTTGAAACCATCATCACTCTCGTAGTTCTTCTATTCTCCACGAGTGCCAACTTTGATTTGCCAATTTCTGCAACACAGCTCGTAGAAGGTAGAAGGAAACGACCAAATTGTTGGCAAGCTGCTTCACGAAGTAAAGCCGAAGATGATACACGTGAGTTAATGGGATTTTTATTTTGTCATGTCTTTTATCGATTCCGATCAAACTATGTCCTCCACCATGTCTATTGCAACAATGGAGGCAAGTAATATATACCACTCCGATCGAGCTGTGTTGCAGTGGAGCAGTTCCACACAGATTCGCAAATCGTTTCGGATCGACCTTTTACGATTATGATAAAACTCATGCGTATGATTGAAAAACTGTGAATAGCAAAGTTTAAGGAAATTAATTGGTCTTTTAGTTAAAAATACTTTCAAGATTGAGCACACACGAATAACATCTCAAAAGAGCGAAAATTGCTCAACTTATGCGACAAGTGAATTCTAACCAACGAGTATCTCGAAAATAACAACTTTGGGCTATTTAAGCATTATGCGCTTTTTTGTTGTAAATTTAATGTGTTTTAATTTTAACACTATTTTAAAGATATTCGATAACTATTGGTAGTATTTTGGATAATACTTATTTTTTCAATAATTCATAACTTTTTTGTTTATTATTTGCCCAGCAAATGCACAGTGTTAATATGTATTACTTTATCTAAACTACAGAATAAATATAAAAAAATAATTTAAAAAAATATATGCAGTTATATATGAGTAATTTTAATTTTTTTTTGTTTTTGATGATTTTGATTTTTTTTTGTAAAAAAACATAATTTTTACAGTGTATATTTCTTCTTGAAAGGCACAATATTTTTCCGCAACTTCTTCTAAGACACCATCTCAATCAAACAAATCGTTCGTGAGATATATGTTTTTCTATTGATGCGTATCATTTTTGCATAAGCCCTTTTCAAGTGTACACGACTAACAAAACTAGGGAACCAAATATGTAAAATGGCACGTTGGACAATAACCAACAACTGTGCAAAGTTTCAACATAATCGTAGAAGGTCGATCAAAAAATTTAAAAAAAAAATCGTCATTTGAAATGGAACTGCTCTTTTATTGATCTGTGTGCTGAAAATACCTGGGAATGTCTGTATATGGCTGTGGAAATACAAAGAGAAAGTCGACGAAGAGAATCTGTGAATGTTAGTTAGGACCTAATGCAATGTTCAGCTTGATATGTTCTGCATCCTTGGATTTAAATTCATAATGAAATCCTTTTTTTTTTTTTTTTTTTTTTCTTTATTTTTGTGATTTTTAGCCGTAGGCTAGTTCATCACATTTGATAATCGAGGGTCAGGCTTAGGGCCTGCCTCGAAAGAAAGCGTTTCAGTCTATCGTTACATAACGTACAACTGGCTCTGATTACCCACCAAAAGGGACAGACAACATTTTAAAAAAACTTAATGTAAAGTGGGAGTTACAACGGGACTGTGGTGAGGAATGGATGCGCGAACAAGGTAGAGCTCCACCGTAAGAGACAGTGCCCCAGTCCGGCAGAGATACCCCGACGGCAGGAAAATAGGAAGGTGAAAGAACACGGACAGCGCAGCCCACGACGAGAGGGCTAGATTTGGTTGTATAGGTGAGCGTCCTTCAAGAATGCAATCAGCGCAGTCAACGTCGAGGGGTCGTTGCCAAGTAGCTCCCTGATGCTCTCTGGGAGTCGGTGTTGTTCGCGTAGCCTCTGAAACTCTGGGCAGACACACAGCACGTGTTCCACCGAGGCAGGGATGCTGCAGATTGGACAAACCTTGTGGAAGGGTGTCCCACCGAAATTGTGGGAAATCCTCGCATGGCCGGTCCGGAGTCTTGAGATAATCCGCTGGTCTTTGTACTTGTGGCTGTCTTGCCAAGGTCGTACGGTTTCTTTGATTTTTCTCAGGAGGGTGGTGCGTGACTGAAACCATTTCTCCTGCCAGGCTTCCATGATGATAATCGCAATCCAACGCCTGACGTCTAGGAGTGGTACGTTCCTGGTGAAGCGGGGTCCGGATGGACCAGATCCCGCCAGCCTGTCCGCTGCCTCGTTTCCAGGAACACCGCAGTGCCCGGGAATCCACGTAAAAACGGTTGAGGGTGGGGCAAAACGTGTAATGGCTTGTATCCAGGGGTGGCTCGGGGCTTCGGCTTCCAGCGCCTGGATGACGCTGTGTGAGTCCGTTAGCACAAGGATCGGTTGATCTGCAGGAGTGATGGCTGCGTCAAGAACAGCAGCGGCTTCTGCGGAAAAAACGGAACACTCCTCCGGAAGACTTTGACTTGTTGCGGTGTTTGGTCCTGCCACTCCGAGTCCCACTCCGGCCCGTGATCGCGATCCGTCCGTAAAGCGATGAACGTGCCCCGGATAAACCGACCTAAGAAGTTCTGCAACGGAGCGCCTCAACGCTACAGAATTATCTCCGGCTTGGAATCCTCTCTTAATCCGCTTATCTATTTTTATAACGTTTGATCGCCAACTTTTCTCTCCATGCCAGTGGACCCTGGCCACCGGGGGGAGGTCTACGTTGGCTGCAGTGCGGATCCTTTATCCATCTCTTTGTTAGCCTTTTTTACCTTTGCGATGTGTTCCTTAAGCCTTGTTTCCAAAGTTCTTTTCGTCTGATCAATATTGCAATCTGGACCAGAGATTTTGTAGACTCCGACTTTCCCTAGGACACTTATTGAATCTTTTGTTGATCCTAACAGTGACTTCAGCTGATATGTCCTGTTGCTGAATACTAAATCTAGGCCAAAACTTCTAAACTTGTAAATAAATGGTTTGGTAATGTTTTTGTTAAAATTCACCGCTACCCATTTTAAACCCTCAGTTACTGGTGTAAGAGTTGTCGAAATACGCCTAAAATGATCCCTTGTTCTTTTATCCATTACTGCTTGAATCATTTTTTCTTGATACCCATTAAGTCTAGCGATTTCAAAAATGTGAGCTATTTCCTTTGATTTGCCTGTATCGCCAAGAGGAAGAGTTTGCATCCTGTGAACCATAGGGTGGAAAGCGGCCATTTTGTGCTGGTAGGAATGGTTTGAAGTGCTTGGTATTACTCTCTTTGTGATTGTTGGTTTTCTATAGATTTCGAAATTGAACGAAGACGTTTCCCTGATGATGAGAAGACCTAAGAAGTGGAGTTAACCGTATCTCTGTTCTTCGTGAGTAAATTTTATGTCCTTGTGAGAACAAAGCGGTCATTTCTGGGCCAACGTGGAGTTGAGCCGACTGCGATCTTCGATTCCACTTTGGCTGCAAGAGCAATAACAGCCGAATTCAATCTCTCGATGTCCTCTTTCATCGAATCAACCGCATTTGGAGCCACAGAAGTCTGATTGACGTCACGGTTCACGATATTATGGAAGTGGCCGTTTGAAAAAAGCGCCGCACAGTGATCGCACATCCAGAAGACATTCTTCTCGTACAATCCAAGTTGAGATCAACTTTGGCACAAATCACGTGAAATGTGTC